TACTTAATAGGTCTTTTCATTTTCTATAGAATTTTTCTCCCTTAAAGAACTGGGCATGGAACAACAGACTGGTTCCAAATAGGAAAAGGAGTACATCAAGGCTGTATATTGTCACCCTGATTATTTAACTTATATGCAGAGTACATCATGAGAAATGCTGGGCTGGAGGAAGCACAAGCTGGAATCAAGATTGCCAGAAGAAATATCAATAACTTCAGATATGCAGATGACACCACCCTTATGGCAGAAAGAGAAGAAGAACTAAAGAGCCTCTTGATGAACATGAAAGAGGAAAGTGAAAAAGTTGGCTTAAAGCTCAACATTCAGAAAACTAACATCATGGCATCTGGTCCCATCACTTCTGGCAAATAGATGGGGAAAGAGTAGCTGACTTTATTTTTCTGGGCTCCAAAATCACTGCGGATGGTGATTGCAGCCATGAAATTAAAAGACACTTGCTCCTTGGAAGGAAAGTTAAGACCAACCTAGACAGCATATTAAGAAGCAGAGACTTTACTTTGCCAACAAAGGTCCGTCTGGTCAAGGCTATGGTTTTTCCAGTAGTCATGTATGCATGTGAGAGTTGGACTATAAGGAAAGCTTAGCCCAAAGAATTGATGCTTTTGAACTGTGGTGTTAGAGAAGACTCTTGAGAGTCCCTTGGACTGCAAGGAGATCCAACCAGTCCATCTTAAAGGAGACTAGTCCTGGGTGTTCATTGGAAGGACAGATGTTGAAGCTGAAACTCCAATACTTTGGCCACCTGATACGGAGAGCTGACTCATTTGAAAAGACCCTGATGCTGGAAAGATTGAGGGCAGCCAGAGAAGGGGATAATAGAGGATGAGATGGTTGAATGGCATCACCGACACAATGGACATGGGTTTGGGTGGACTCCGGGAATTGGTGATGGACAGGGAGGCCTAGTGTGCTGCGGTTCATGGGTTTGCAAAGAGCTGGACACGACTGAGAAACTGAACTGAACTGAACTGAACTGGAAGAATTGCCCACTTAGATATATAGCCATTTAAATTTAGTCAGTGAAGATGGAGTGTCAGGCCCCATTGATCACTGTCTGTGAAGCTGGAAAATTATCACAAAATAATGTAAGTATATACAAAGAGAAAAGGGAACTTACTAAGTAAAGACTTAACAGCTGAACATTGTCATAAAATAACATCGACTCTTTTTTTGGAACAATAGATTAAGATGTCCCCAGAACAGGCTGTTTTAAAGTGCCTTCTGAGAAAAGGTCACAGTTGTGATGGATATGGTTGTTCCTTTCTTTTGTCACAGTAAATTAACAGACTTCATTAGGTAAAGTGTGATAAATAATGAAACAATAGAAAACAGTTGATCTAGATCTAGAGAAGCAAGGAGAAGTTTCTAATCTAGCTTTGAAATCATGTTTATTAGCCACATCTTGGACAAATTTCTCAGTTTCTTTAAGTCTCAGATTCAGCACTATAAAATACTAACCCTCAATCTCAAGTGTTTTGGTGAAACTGAAGAAGATATAAATCCTACATATGGTCCAAAGAAACAATTACAAAGTCCACCATGATTTGCTGATTAAAGTAGGAGTATTTTAATTTATTTGTATTCTGTGCTTTACAGACAATTTATCCATTTCTCTCAACACCACTGTGAACTAAGCCAAGGAACATTCCATGACTTGCCTGAGGTCAGAAAACAAATTCCAAGCTGAGCCTGGGCTCTTCTTGTCTGCCTGATTCTCAAGTCCAACTTTTGTAGTCTCTTCAATATATAATGTTTGTAGTTGTCTAAGTTTTAAAATGCCTCCATTGATTTTGCTTTCACAAATCATTTGCATTATAATGTAGACTGTGAGTGCCACCAACTGAAGTGCAGGATGGAGTGAAGGCAGAATCTTGGAACCAGAAAGCTCTGTCAAACTCATCTAGGTGAACTCCTTGCCTTATGTAAAGCTCACCAAACTATTCCAGACACATTGTCAGGGATGGAATTAACAGCTCTGCTAACTTCTCTGCTGCCTAGCCATGCTTGCTACCCCCAGAGTCCCTCCTTACATCATTTGAATTCTCTCCAACTGCGATTTATGCCCCTCTTCTCTTATTCTGGCCTCATCAGAGAGAGAACAGCTGGTCACCATCCTCCATATAATCATACTGGGGATAATGGAGGTGGTTATTGAGTCACTCTTCCCCAATTCCAGTCCAGGTTTTGCTACATGGACCTATTTACTGGGGAACTGACAAAGATGGCAAGTAGAAGAAAACACATTTAAAACATATTCACACCTAGTAAAATGCTGATTAGAAAAACTGTTTTAGGCGTGAATAACACTATTCCTCATTATTTTACCACAACTCATGTTCTGTAATTGTTTCAAATCTGAAGTCCATTCCATAATGGCTAATGATAGGACTTTTCATACAATTTGCATCTGGCTTTATCTGAGTTTGAGATAACTAAGTTAGGAAATCCAAAGTGGAAAAAAAAAAAAAAAGGTTTGGGCAGCAGCCAGCAGAATATTTGATCCAAGGCACATGTGTCTGAAATTAAATTTGGGAGTTAGTCTGTGCTTTCTAAGTCATGACAGCATATGAACGGGAAACTTCTGTATGCTAAGAAAAGGAGAATGTGTAGGCTGCTGCCTTACAGGAATTTCAGGGAACAGGGACAATTCCTAGAAACTACCCAGATTGACTGAATGACTTTTTGGCACACCAGAGTGAGGGGACTAGAATGGAAGCCTCCCTGTAATTATCCTGTCGGGCTCCTGAGAGGTCACCTGTGTGGATTTGGGCAGGGTCAGCTAGAGAGTACAGAAAATAAGGCATTGCCTAAATGGAATGGTTTTTAAGGTGAGCAAGCCCTCTGCTTAGTAGTCAACCTAGGTATGTTGCTTTGTTCATTACAGCTTTATTTTTGAGACTTTTAAAAAGTTATCTACATCTCAGACTTCCTTATTGGAGAGGTAATATTCTGTATTAGCAAGTCAGCTAATGCCATCTTGAAAGCATGATGTTTAAAGAACTGGAAGGATAGTCAGACTCTACTTGGCTCCAGACAAGGTGAGAAAATGATCAGAATTCTTTCACTTATTCTTTCACTCAATTATCCAGCAATACATTGGGAATAAAACCAGCATTTACCACATAGGGATAAGCATTAAATGACTTGGCAAATGAAGAGTTTGTAATAGTACATAGTACAAAATAACAACTCCATAGATGCTATTTATTACTAAAGAGAGAGAGCACCACTATTCTTCAGGAGGTTTTCCATGAACTTTCAAAACTAGTGTGTAATGTGAAAAGTTCTTTAGGACAAGGTTCTGGAGCAGGAAGTATCTTAGTGATTATGCTTTTAGAAAGAACAGGGGGTTTCAGAAGATGATAATAACAGAAGGTGATAATAACTATTTAGTGCTGGTTAGAGTCCATCAGAGATATTTCATTTTTCTAGACATAACACTTTAAAAAGAATATTGATATATTTGACTTTATCCCTGGGAAGCAACCAAATAGAAAAAAAGATTTCAAACTGATTTAAATGGGATCAATTTAATATAATTTTATGTGTTCCATTTAGAGAGGAGTTAGGCTGAGATATGACTGTGTTCTCGCATGACTATCTATGGAATATGAAATCTTTCTGGAGAATAAAACTAGGACTACACAGAGTGGAAGTTTCGAGAAAAATTTTATTCATTAGATAATTTTTTCTGGCAGTAATATGTGATCAAAATATGATTAGGCTTCTCAAGTAGTATGTGGATTACTGAAAGGATACAGGACAGACTTGAAGAGAATATTTCGAGATTGGTCTATAAACTCCCCAGATCCTTTTTGGATTCAAAATTTTAAAATTTGATCAAGAGCATTCTTAACTTTGATAATTACAAAGTTACAAACTGTTATAAATTAACAATGTTTCAAAGACCAAGTGGAACAGCAGACACACTCACCAAAACAGTTTCTATGCAAATTTATCTGAGGGCAAGCAGTTGTCTAAGTATTAGGAAAACAATTTTCCTTTAATTCTCCAATGGAGCTTCCAGACATACACTCTATAAACCCTCCCTAACTTTGTAACCAGATATTAAAAGCACCTGTGAAGGCCAGGGAAGGTCCACTTCCTGTAGACGTATATCATTGACTGCCATGGATGGCATAATCAAGGAATGCAAGTAGGGCTTCTGGCTCAAGTCAAGAGTAGCTGGGTCAACCTTTTGTAAAACAGCTATTTGCAAAGAAACTGAATACACTATTCATCTGGTTGTCTGTATCCAAAATCCTTGTGAAGAATTTAATTCATGATTGTACAATGTCACTAGATAAAATAACATTTGCTGATCATTATCTCTAAACCTCTGACCTTGTCTATTTACACAGTCTCATCTGCAACTATGTTCCCTTTCAACATGTTACAAACACAAAGGCTTTCTGCTGTCTCTCCATCAAGCCAAGTTCACGACTTGCCATGTTTGGACTGTTTTCTCAGTCCCTTCTACTTTCAGATCTTTGCATGGTTGTTCCCTCATGATCATTCAGATTCCAACCGGATAGTCCTCTCTGGCCATGGATCTAAATGTATAATATTGATCTCTTCCATAACATTACTCTCCACCCTATTACTCCATTTTATTTTATCATAGAATCTGTTATCTTTTTTTTAACTTCTGCAATACAAGTATCTAGAATATTATCATATATATATATATATACTTACCACATATTGATTTATCTCATCTGTATTTATGTGTTTATTATCTTCTCTCTCCCAGCAAAATATACATTTCATTGGGTCAGAGGCCCCTTTTACATGTTCACTGTGGATTTTCCAGTGCTTGGAAGAAAGTGACATCTCCATAGTTATTTATTTATTTATTTTTAAGGAATGAATCTTGTTTGTGGTGGGCAATCACACGTGAAGAACTTAAAGTTATTTTAGGATGGTGGATGGTATGATTTTGTTTTTGCTTAAGCAGTTTTTTTTTCTTATTCTCTAAGATGCAAAGCCCTGACCTTACAGAAATGAAAGTTGATTCATCATGCTATGCTGATGATGAAGAGAAATGAACTATGCAAGTCATCCTTAACTTCTCTGGTTCAGCTGCTTTCTTCTCTGAACTATTTCAGCACCACTATTCTAAATAAGACTTGGTCCTCTGAAGGTAAGACTAGAAACTAACTTAGAGGTCAGAGCTAGCGGAGCAGTATAAAAAATATAAAAAGTGTCCTAAAACTCTAGAGAAGAGCCTCAAGAGGATGTGGATAAAGAGAATAAGGTTAGAGACAAGTAAATGCTACTAGTAATGACTTTGGTGAGATATAATAAAAATCTGCCAAGACCTGAAGCTACAGGAAGCAAATAGAACTCAAAGAAATAAAAGGAAAGAACAAATTGATTTTGACAGATGAGGGCTTCTGCAATATAATCCCTCTTGAAGATCCAGAAGCTGTTCACCAGTCCCTCTTTGTCCATCTAAGAGGATCCAGATGTTTCTGACATATCGACTCTATTATCTAATCAGTGTGGTCATTTATTTCATAAAGATTACTGAATGCTAAATAAGTACAAAATCAGAGTCAAAAATAGTTAATGAAAATAAAAATTATACACAGTATATGTACATATAGTTCTATATCATCTTTTATATTATTATCACAGTTTATTATTGTTTGGAAAAATGTTTATTTAATGCTAATTGCCACTATTATACAGAAATAACATCAGGAACATATTTTAATCACCATTTGCTACTTGATTAATTACTTAGAGTTAATTTAGCAAACACTTATTGGGTATCTTCTGTGATAGGATGCATGATAGGTCCTGGACAAACATGGTCTCTGTCTCGGGAAGTTTACGTTCTTGTAGAAATGGAAGATGATAAAATATTTAGGATGATATTGGGTTTTGATAAGTGCTTCATGGAAAATAAAACACCATGAGGTAGTGATAATTGTGCATGAGAGGATGGTGTCACTCAAGAAAAGATTAATATTTGTCCTGAACAGAATTTAAACTGAGATCTGAAAGCTGAAAAGCACATAGGAAAAAACAACAACAACAGGTCTCTATGATCTGTTTTGATCATAGAGATAAGAAAAGAGACTAAAAGGTACAGCATAGTTTCGAGTAACTGTAAGGAAATCCTTGGACTGCAGACCAGTGAGCAACAAAGAGAGCAGTGGCAGAGGTGAACAAAGCAAAACTCCTGCTAAGTTTGTGGGTTATCTTTGGGGAGTTCAGGCTTTATTCTATGTCCATTGCAAGCTTTTGAGCAGGGGAGAAATCTAATTTGATTTACCTTTTTGAAAAATTGCTCCAGTTAAAATACGATATATTGTAGAAAGGTAAGCTGCAAAGGCAAGTCTTGGGGATCATCTTGGAGGTGACCAGTTGAGAGATGAGGGGTTTTAACCATGGATATGCACTGAAAATGAAGATAATAATTGTAGAATATGTGAAGAGTTCAGATGTATGGACAACAGAGAGAGAGCTGAGCTAACTACTGGATTTTGGCTTGAACATCTGGTTTGATGTTGATATCATTTATTTACAGGGAACAGACTGAGCTGAGTGAGAAAGATGTTCAAATGGTGAGTGTCATTAATAACATTCTTAATTAGTTTCAGAGACCATTCTGTATAGCAGATCTCTCATATGTGTTTGAAATTCAAAGAAAGTTTGGGCTAGGAATATATACATATAGTTGAAATGTAAAGTGATTGACATGGAAGTGATCATCCAGAGAGACAGTGTAGAGAGAGAGAAGAGAGTAAAACCTAGAACCAATCTTGGGAATATCACCTAGTGATCAGACAGTAATATGAAATATAAAAAAAAAAAGTCCAAATGGAATTACCAGTTGAATAAAGGAAAACTTATGAGATGTGAAATTATATAAACTGAAGGACTGCTGCAAATACATGGGATCATTTATTTCTGGTGAACAGTGCTAAAATGTGTAGAAAGACTGAAGACAGACATTAATGCATTTTAGGATTTAGTTTGGAGGTCATTGTTGGCTTCATAAATACATTTAAATAGATCACTGAACACCTAGATACACATGAATCAAAGTATTGAACACTAAAGACAGTCTTAAAAAAGATCAGAAAAAATGGATAGACTTACTTGTAAATGAAAGAGGATTATTTACATTCATAGCTGAATTGTCAGAAGCATCAAAGAATAACATCTACGAAGTTAGAAGAAAACTCAATTCTAGTGAAACTATCACTTAAGAATCAGGTCTAATTACTTCACACCAATTAAGATTGCTACTCAAAAAAAAAAAGAAGAAGAAGAAAAAGAAGTTTGTGTCAGAATGTAGAAATACTGGAACATTTATGCACTGTTGGCAATGTAAAAGGACACAGTCATTAAAGAAAAATGGTGGCTCTCAGAAATTTGAAAATAGAATTAGTATAAGATCCAACAGTCTAACTTCTGGGTCTTACTCAAAAGAATTGAAAGCAGGAGCTAGAATAGGTATGTGTGCATCTATGCTCAAAGTAGCATTGTTACAGTATCCAAAAGGTAGAAGCAATCCAAGGTCCCATTCAGTGGACTGATTGATAAATAAAATTTTGTTATGTATACACCAAATTTTGTTTATCCACTCTGCCATATGTTTCTTTTCTTTTTTTAAACCACAATTGAAATGTAAACAAAAAATAGTTTTGAACTTTTTGAACATGTAAAGTTTCTTGGCAATACCTAGGAGTCTAGAGGCCATACTTTGAGACCTCCTAATATATAGTAATCTTATTAATACATATTAAAATTACACATAATAATTAAATAGTATACAGTCATGTGCTAAGGACTTATCTGTGTGTTTTCAAACTACTATCCCTTTAAACCACCACAACAGCCTGATAACTTAAGTACCATTGTTCTCTTTACAGTCATAAACTTCTCATCTTCGAAGAGTATAGTTCATATTGGGTGATGTAAAGTAACTTGACTGCTTTTAAGTGAAACTGAGAGAACTTTGCCTAGACCTCTTGAACTGACTGGTCTCACAATCTTTCCTAATGGTTAATGTAGTCTTTTCAGCAGCGCTTAAGCATTTAAACTGTTCCTTTCCCTTAATTCTTCTGTAGTGCTGGTTTAGGCTGATTTTGGCACATTAGGGTCTTTGTTACTTGTTGGCATTATTACTTTTTCTACTCTAAGAACTCATCACATTTTTGTCAAAACATTGAGTTTTCACGCTTCCCCTGCTCAAGCATTTCCTGTAGTGTCACTTCTCCAACAATCACATGGTGCAAAGCAGAAGGAAACACCCACACACCACATTATAGTACAATTCTCAAAAGAATAACCTGATCTTCACTGTCTTTTTCCCCTTAATTGCTAATGTTTACAAAAGCTTATTCATTTCCCTCTTCTATTTTTTAATGGCATCCCAAAGATCCTGAAGGCTGGGTGGGATGACAATTTGGGGTAGTATTAATATTAAATATCCTCCCGGGTGACACAGTTGGTAAAGAATCATCCTACCAATGCAGGAGACACAAAAGACCCAGGTTTGATATCTGGTTCAGGAAGATCCCCTGGAATAGGAAATGGCAACCCACTCCAGTATTTTTACCTGGAAAATCCCATGGATAGAGGAGCCTGATGGGCTATAGTCCAGGGGGTCGCAAATAGTTGGACATGACTGAGCATGCACTGCCATATCTTCCACTCCATTGTGAGATGAATATGAACACTGCCATGTCTATTCTAGCTGGAAAATATACAAAATATATAGCTAGACTTTTCATAAATACTCAAGGATGGCATCTTTGCACAGTTTTACAAATGTGAAATTTCAATAACACTAAAGAAATAGTGTTTATACATGTCAAAAATTCATCAATTGTGCTCAAGGAATTGTGTTCAATATCAGATTCCTTTGCATAAATATCATTCTTTTCAAAAAGAAATTCCTAGGCTATATTTTGCCAGAAATACAGATTAAATAGTTCTGAGGTGGAGTTCTTAAACTTATACTTTTAAAAGTCCCCTCATGTCCTTCTTAGGTAGAATATACTTTGAGTACAACTGATCTGGAGTATGGGCTTCCCTGGTAGCTCAGTCGGTAAAGAATCTGCCAGCAGTGAAGAAGACTGGGTTAGATCCTTGAAATTGGAAGATCCCCTGGAGAAGAAAATGGCAATCCACTCCTGTGTTCTTGCCTGGAAAATCCCATGGACAGAGGAGCCAGGTGGGCTACAGTCCATGGAGTCGCAAGAGTCAGACACGACTTTGTAAGTTATAATGATAGTTGGAAATCTTGTGTGGCATGAGTACCTTAACAGGCACTAGTCTAAGTGTTTGAAAATGCCTTCTTGCCAGGTGGCAGTCAATCCAGGTGGGTTACCCCCAGAGTCTGCTTTTAACCACTGTATCATGCTTTTTTTTCCCTAACTTCATATAAAATGCCCAAATTATCAGATATTTGCAAAGGAATAAGCCAGAGAGTTGAAATTTGCCCTCCAATTTTATCTTTTTTAGTATTTTGAATCAAACTATCTGTAAGATTCCCTAAACTGAATCTCAAGTACTTAAATATCTGTTGATTAACCAAGCACTTGAAATTGTACAAGAACCTTCTAGACAATATCCAAAACATTGGTTATGGGAAGGTTTCATAGTAAAGGATGAAAAAAAATCTCAAGAGCCAGGGCTGGTCATGCTGGAAAGCTAATCTCACAAATATCAGCAGGAAGAGTTATGACCTCTCTGGTCACTTTGAGATCCAGGAGGGAGGTGTAATTGTGGGTATGGTGAAACTTCCCAAAATTCTAGGGCTCCAGTGGAGAGATACATGGACCACTTCACTCCCAGCTGAGTTCAGGATAATGGAGACACAGTGGTTTTACCAGGAAAGAACACTTTTACTAAAGAAAAAACATGTTGAAATGCTCTCAGGAATGTGAACTAAAGGTACTAAATAGAAAAGTAAAACAACTTTCTCAAACAAAATAACAACACCTGTCTCCATTCAAGTACTGATTTGTAAAATATGGGATAACGATATATATGGTCCAGAGAAGGCACTGGCACCCCACTCCAGTACTCTTGCCTGGAAAATCCCATGGACGGAAGAACCTGGTGGGCTGCAGTCCATGGGGTAGCCATGAGTTGGACATGACTGAGCGACTTCACTTTCACTTTCATGCATTGGAGGAGGAAATGGCAACCCACTCCAGTATTCTTGCCTGGAGAATCCCAGGGATGGGGGAGCCTGGTGGGCTGCTGTCTATGGGGTTGCACAGAGTCGGACACAACTGAAGCGACTTAGCAGCAGCATATGTATAGTCAGTCTCTACCCTTCTCCTCTCAGAGGCACACTGTCATTCTGATAGATAAATTGCAAACTTAAAGTTGGCCAAAGAAACCTGATGATCTTAGGAGCCATCATTCCCATTTTCTAATCTATATTATGTTTCAGTATAATGTCAAGTAATTGAGTTATTGGGCTTGGGGCAGGCACAGAGCACTAAAGCCTCCCCATGAACATTCAGAGGTTGATAGTTTTCAGATAGAATTCCACACTTATTCTATTTAAGAATTGAAAGCATCCTTGCAGTTATATAATAAACATAAAGCACTTTGTGACAGTAAACTAATGCCATTTATGCCAAAACTGCAGTGTAAGCCTAGTCTATTAGAGTGCAAATTCTGGGATCAGGAGATCTTAGCTTATATCCAGTCTATACCACCTATTTGGGCTTCCCAGGTGGCGCTAGTGGTAAAGAACCCACCGGCCAGTGCAGGTAGATGTAAGAGACATAGGTTTGATCCCTGGGTTGGGAGGCTCCCCTGGAGCAGGGCATGACAATCTACTTCAGTATTCTTGCCTGGAGAATCCCATTGGTCCATAGAGTGGACATACAGAGTGGGACACAACTGAAGCAACTTAGCACACATCACCTATTAAGGGCTTTCCAGGTGGCTTAGTTGTAAAGAATCCTCCTGCCAAAAAAGGAGACACTAAAGACAAGGGTTAAATTCCTAGGTGAGGACAATCCCCTGGAGGAGAAAAAGGCAACCCACTCCAGTATTCTTGCCTATGAAATCCCACAGACAGAGAAGCCTGGTGGGCAATAGTTCATAGGATCACAGAGTTGAACATGACTGAGCATACACACCACCACCTATTAAATGTGTGACCTTACAAAAGTCACTTAACCTTTCTGTGTTTCAATTTCCTCATCTGTAAAATGTGAATAACATATTGCCTAACTCACAGGGTTACGATGAAGATTAAATTATTTGATATATGTGAAATTCTTAAACAGTGCTTGACATATAGCAAGAATGATATGTGGTAGTTAATATTATATTCTTAGTCATCAGAAATATTTTAACATCCCAATCAAAGACCTAGGTTAAAAAATGGTATAGGCTATATGTTCTGTAGGACTTCCAAGAGGGAGAAATCACTGTGAGCCTCAGTAATAACATTCTCCAATTTAAACAGTTTCTCTACTTTAAAAATGGAAATAGAAGAACCTGCCTTTCCAGTATCTTAGAGCTGTGGTGATAATTAAATAAAATAATACTTAGAAGGAGTTTTATGAATTTCTGAAGAGCAATA